TGCCTCCTACAGATTCCTGGGTTCGTAGCAAAAGCAAACACAGAGATGCTTTTGAAGGGTGTCGATGCAACAGTCATACTTGAACGAGACAGACTGCAATGTGGCATCGCGATCCAATCCAGCGCGGTTCTTCTGGTAACGAATTCTACGCGAGAGAAGAGTGACTGATGGCGGGCCTCTTACTGGGATGCTACATCCATGGCTTGGTCGGAGGACGTATCCTCCTACCGCGAACATGGGCATTACATGGTTCGAGGTCTTATGAATAAGCATTGAGACTCTGATCCGTGGCAGCGGATGAGAGTCAAGGCTAAACGAGCTTTCGCATATTGATAAAAAGTTTCTTTCATTGTTACAATAGTGTGAAAGCTAAGAGAACACCTAGAGGGTTCTCAATGTACATACTATAGTAGCTGGATAGCCCAAGTTGCACTGGTCCAGCTCTTCCTTCACCCAGCCATCGGGATATCTGCCCACTTACTTCTTCTCGGCGGGGGGAGCCGCTCCTCCGGTGGTGGGGAAGCCCATAAAGATCTTGAAGTAGTCCTATTCACGCATGTCAGTCACTGTTCTCAACTTCTCTCAACAATATTTTGACGGCCACTCACGTAGATCATCCACTGGAGACCGGTCAGGGTACCAATCATGACGATACGGACAGGCAGACCGTTCCAGAGGCCAGAGAATCCAATGTCCTTGTAGATCCTGCCCATGGCCGCGCCAAATGCCTCGCCCTGCGCGCGATTTGCATTGAGCTTGCTGACCATGACGTCGGCCGGGTGGGAGACGATAGCGCAGAGGATACCTGCCAGGTAACCGCTGACAAACGACACGCCCGTCTGGGCAGCCTTGCTGTAGTCGGACTTTTGCCCGGGGAGGCGGGCGTACATCATCTCGACAATGGTCTCGAAGGAGGCAAACTTCATCATGGTGTAGGGAATCTGTCGGCCCCAGAGCGGGTACAGGCCCTTGTAGAGGCCTCCCCACCCTTCCTTAGCCGTGACCTTGCTGATGCCGTCGAGGGTGCCCTTGTAGGGGGACGGGATTCCGCCCTGCATGCGGACCTTTACGGCCTCGAAGGGGCAGAGGGCGATATCGGCGAGGAACTCGGCGGAGGCCGAGGCGGAGAGGAAGAGGATCGTCTGGTACTTTTTGGCGTTGTCGGGGCCCGCGAGGTCGGCGTAGGTCTTGAGAGTTGCGTGTCAGTCACGAAGCTTCTTTCACCGGGCTGAGATGAGAGATTCGAAATGATGGGGGTTTTCTTACCTTTTTGAAGTATTCGTAGAATCCGTACTTGCAAGCTCCCTGCGCGGAGTAGCCCCAGAAAGTCGGTCCCCAGCCGGTCATGATGCCGCGGAGACCCTCCTTTCGGAAGATCATTCCCCAAGCCTGGAAGTTTCCGCGGTACAGCTTCGAGTCGATTTGTCTTCTCACTTTGACAAGATCCAGAGGAGTGACGGCGGTATGCGTCAAGCCCTAGCTTTTAGTGTTAGTCGAGCGGTTCTCACAAGTTCCCGTTGGGGCGCCGGGGCCCGGCGCCGTTGTGGGGACCCCGGAGCGGAGACGAAGTCACCCATCATGGACAACAACGATGAGTCAAGGCCAAGGAAGACAAGGGGAACTCACGCAGGCCATGAGGCCACCGACGGTGCAAGCAGCATAGTACTTTCCAGAGTACAGCTCAATCTTGCCGCCAGCCGCAGACTGGGCCTTGGCGCTGGCCTTCTCAAACTCGGCCGTGGCCTCGGCGCTGAGCTGCTTCGCCTTGCCCTTGACGTCGTCAACGGTGGAGAATGCGCCGTAGAACTCGGGGCGGGCCTGGTAGCGCGTAGGTTTCGCCATGGCCGTGGTGTCCGCTGCCTTGTTAGGACGGCTGCTGAGCGGGGATGCAAAACATCCCTTGAGGGTATCTTGTCTAGGGTAGAGGAACGACATCGTGGTCGGGACGCAATTCGTCTGGACCGGGAGGGTTGGATGATGTGGGATTTCTTCTACAAGGATATCTGGCTGATGAAATTAGTCGGAAGGTAAGGTGAAAGATGATCATACCCCTGCGATAAGCTCGAGAGGCGGGATGGGCGCGCAATTGAGTTTCGCAATGGAAGCTCGAGCTCGAAGGAGACGGGCGACACCGGCAATGAGCGTATATGACACGATGTTGAAGAGACTAGACAAAAGAAGTTGAAGATCTTTACTTACCAATAGAGCGAGCCGAGAGGGGTTTCTAGCTCAAAGAACAGTAGGAGAGGAGAGTAGGTGCAACGTCAGTCGCACGACACAAATGACCGTTTCCGGCGTATGAGCGAGAGCACCTTGAGAGTCGAGAGCTGGCTACTTCTCGAGAATACGGAAGCAGACGGAGAGAAGAAGATTGCGAGTGAAGTCGTCGCAAACACACATACACAGGAAGAAGAGGAAGTCAAGATGAGAAGAGTGGTCAGAAGCAGGTTTATTATCATGCGAATATAATTGGGGGAAAGGGGGCGCCAGCGCTCATGAGTGGACGGACAGGATAGCTCAAGAAGGAACGGGGGGTCCAACGAGGAGGTAGGTAGTGATTGCCTCTAGAACGAGGCCCAGGAGGGTAAGAGAAGGAAAGGGTCGGTTCGGATGGTTCGGTCACGTCAATGTCGCGGGTACCCCGACCTCACCAACAGTTTACTGTGCAATGTCGTCTTGACTTGGGTAGAGCTTACGCGCCAGTGACCGATAGCTGCGGCGGAAGGTGTTCGGAGGGTATGGGTGACATCACACCTCAGAAGGGGAGGTCTAGACTTCGATGTAGAGCTGTGAGAGGCGCTGTACTGTGTACTAAGGTAGAGGTAGAGCAGGAGTAGCTTGAGTGGGGCACCGGCATGCGACAGAATACGACGAGAGGGAAAGCTCCCGTGTTATCGCGAAGAGGCCCGCGCTTATCCCCGGATTTTGCGGAGCTTCGCCGTGATTTTGTTGTTTCGTCTCCCGGCCTCATTTTCCAATACTCTTGTCTATGCATCACTCTCTAATTGATTTTTCTATTTAACTACAATTCAGATCCTTTAATTGCTCTTTTATTCCCGAACTTGCTCCAGATAGTCTGTGTAAATCGTCAGAGAGAACGCGATGGAGATACGTGGCAAGCCGACTGCAAAAGAGCCGATGGCCTAAATAGGAAATTGCTTTGAAACTACACTAAAGCATCCAGGCTGACCACGATCGTAAGAAGTTCCGTCGAGGGATTTTAGAATGACTTTTTTCATTCTCAATGCGCGAGACAAGAAAATTTCAGCGAGCAGATGACCGGATTTCTATGGATCTCATTCTCAAAATAGTAGGTCTAATCTGGTCTTCCTTGTTTCGGCTTCACGAAATATTCTATCAACGGACTGATCCGTGATACTCAACCCGATAGCTCCCGTGGCTTTTGGTGACTCTTCAGCAGCAACACCCCGCTGTGGAACCCACAAGGTCGGTGAAGGAACACCGGCAGGCAGCCTCAGCGAAACCTTAACAATTTACGGATGGATACAAGGTGCGGGTGGACCGTATGAGCAATTGGCTCTCACCCCCCACCACTCTCGGCGACATGCAAATTCGCAAAATGGCAGCCGCCCCCGGCGCGCGCGTCTGGGAGCAAATCCGAGACACCGCCCGACTTTCAACTGTGGCGTTTTCCCCGTACCTTACCGCCAAATCTTTCAGCCCTGTCGATGTCGACACCGCCCCTCCTCCCTCTGTAGAACCCCGCGATAATTGATATCATTTTCCAACTCAACTGCCCGAGCGACCAGCACCAACCACGATTGACGATACCTACCCACTCTGCCTCGACGGTCGACTTTTATCGCGAATAAGTACTCACTCGAGGCCCGGAAAGTTCTTTCCAATTCTCAATCATGGCGGCTCTGGCTTCCACTCCCGCCGCGGCGGCGCCTACGTCGCAAACCAGCGAAACGTCCAGTCCCTTCGTCTCAAAATGGTCCTCCCGTTACCGCGGTGTACGTGAATATCCCCTCGAACCAACCCTCGCTTTTCCCTCTTGTCTCCCATACCAAAAGACCCTGAAACCTTCCCAACGAGTAACTAACCCTTTACGTTCTCATCATCCAGGCCACAGTAGAAGACATCGACCCCCCGGCCGCCCTCTCCCTAACGCCCACCGACCCCATCTCCCACGCCCTCATCTCCGCCTTTGAGCGCGACTACACCCACCTAACCGTTGTCGACGCCCACCGCGCCCTCGTCGGCTACCTCGCCATCCCCCACCTCCAGGCCCTCCTCGATGCCGGCAAGGTCAAGCCCGAGGACCCCCTTTCCAAGGCCATGGTCCGCTTCCAGCGCAAGGGCCGCACCTACCGCGTCATCACCATGCAGACGCCCCTCGAGGAGCTCGAGGCCTTCTTCGCCGGCGACGGCGTCGAGGCGAAAAGGAGCCACTTTGCCGTCATCACGGACGAGAAGCGGCGGTTCGTGCTCGGCGTCGCGACGGTGCAGGATCTCGAGGAGTTTGTCAAGAGAAGACCGGCGTGAGTGTGCGCTTGTCGAGGACGGATCTGAGAATGAGAGCTTTGGGCCGAGCAGTAGTATTCGGAGAGAATTGGGATGGCGGCCATCATCCAACGGTCGTAATGAATCTATGGCACGAAGAAACATGGTAGATGAGACGGTTGGCTGCATCAACTCAGGCGTTGGCGGTTCGCATGTTGAACCGGAGGGAAGCATTGGGACAATGACTGGTACATAGGCAGACGATTCAACATTGCTCTTCCTTGTCATCACGCAATTTTTTTTTTTTCTTCACAAACGAGTATCCACGGAACAGGAGTTTTTCAGACGGGTTCAGTTGATATTCATGCTCTCAAAATCTACTCTTCGTTGTGCTATATATCATAGCCTAAGAGCGGAACGGCATTATACGTCCTGCAAGTGCGTGTAGTAGCCATGCTTCGTGTGTAGTAGAATCGGTCCAATCATCCAACCTTAGTGCAAGGAATTCCCAGAAAACGCCACGTGCGTAAGATTTAAGGAAGGTAGTCGTAGACAAGGCGAATCTCGACTCTCTTGCCACCCTTCTGAACGAGAACGTTACGCGTGTAGCGTCTCTCGCCCTCGACGGTCTGGAAGCCCCAGATCTGAGAGGCAGTCCAGCCATTGTCGATGCTCTCGACGTGACTGTAGAGGTGGGCCTTGCCATCGGGACCGGTGGCCTCGGCGTCGCCCTCGAGCCAGCCCTTCTTGAGGAATTCATCCTCAATCTCGGCGAGGGTCATCCAGCGGCTCTGGCCACGGACGCTGCCGAACATCCAGTCGGAATGCTCACGCCATTCATTGTCGACACAGCGCTTCTCTGTGGTGCCCTTGAGGCCGGCCGTGGCGAACTGGTCAATATCGAAGTGGGTGACGGGCTCAGTGCCGGAGCCGGGAGGGGAGGGAGGAGCGGTGTACTGCTTGACGTCGAGTGTGACAGTGGCAAGGCCGACAGCCTTGCGGGTCATCCAGCCGATGCCCTGAAGGGCGAGAGCAGGCTCCGGGGAATCGGAGAGGGTCTTGTTCTATTGGCGTTGTCAGTTTTCTTTCCTTGCGCGCATCTCTGCTCCTTGATGGTGCTAAAGTATCTAGAACATGGGTGAACGTACCATGACCCACTTGCCGTTGAGGTCGGCGATCGTCTTTGTGGCAGGAGCGGCCATTGTGATGTGATGTGTTGTGTGAATGCGTTTGGTATGTTCTGCGACGAAGATAAGCCGAAGAACTGTTCGGTATTTTTATGTCCTGAAGCTTTGGTGAGCTTCAACGAGTAGAATGGGAGGTAAAGGTGTGGTGGTGGTGGCGGTGGTAAAGTACCTTGGGTCGGTGGTGGTCGGAGGGGTTGCAACGGGGACAAAATGTCAACGGGTGCGCAGAGGTGAGATGCGTAAATGTAGGTAGCCCGGTTCGCAAAGGTGAAATACCGTCAAGCCAAAGTCGTTACTTAAAGCAGGCGCAAACTCTGTTTCAGGTAGGCCACCTTCTTCTTTTGTTCGCAAATTGGCGGTAGAATAAATAAAAAGATGGGAATGAACAAGCTGGGCTGAAGAACAAAGGTGACGTAGAAATTGACTCTGGATAAAGGCGTCCAATCCGTCGGCGCCTTCTTATACGCCGCCTGGCCCGGTATCAGCTCTTTCCAGTCAGGTCAAGTCAGGAACAAGCTCACCGGGTCCAGTCAAGCAGGGTGCCTTCCGCAGGACTTTGTACCTACCTTCCCAATACCATAGAGGTTGGAGTTGGAAGGTACCTACTCTGTAAAGTACAACGCGGGGGTCAGAAGAATTGGCCGCTTTTTTCCAGGCTCATTGCTAAGAAGACCGGCCAATTTCTCTGTCCGCTGCATGGGTACTTACCTTCCTTACCTTAAGGTACCTTACCTTACCTTGGACAAGCGGGGCGGGGAAGTATCCCTCCCCACACTGACACTGCCACTGCCACGGCTTTCACATGAAGAGAAGAAGCTCTCGCTCTCTCTCACTCTCACCTTCGCAATCGCTCAGCCAGCCCCGAATAAGAACAGCTCTCTATTATCACACGAACGTTGTGCGACAGCTTAGATGTCGGGGCCGAGGCTCGTGAGGCAACCTCCACACCCTTACGCTTTACCCCAGACCCTGCCAATCTACCTCGAAAAGGGAACGCGTGTGAGCATCATGACCACATACACCCTTCTCTGCAGACTGCAACCTCCCACCCCCAGAACACTACACTCCTGTCAGCAGTTTAATCCTCCTCTTAACTCCCCGAATCTGGGCATGCCAGCATACCACCTGGACCTGCGCGAAACAAACGGCCAATGATAGCAACCAGACCGACACTCGCGATCCCAATCTGGCCGCCTAGCCCGGTCCGCGTTGCGTCCATCTGGAGATAGTACGGGGAACGTAGCAATCCGAACAACCGTTCTCCAAAGCTACCAAAACACCAACCTCGACGATGCTCGCCCTGGTCCCATGTGCACCATGAGTGTCACTTCCCAATCAGGCAGCCAAAAAAGGACAACCCCAGGGGTGAACAGGAGTCACAGCTTCCGAGGCTCGAGGCAGCGCTAAAGAAGACACAGAAGAAAAGATAAAAAGACCCATTGGGCTTTTGCACGGTCTTCATGATGTAGGGCGGGCAAGGTCATTACCTAAAGCAATCCAAGGTAGGCATATGCATGACGGGTAAAGCAGACAGACGCAGGGACAGACAACAGCTCACAGACGCACAATTCGTCTGAGAGCTTCGACACTGCTTGGCGCTTGTATCCGAATAGCAATGTTGCATACACCGACAGCTTCTCTCCCTCGAATCCGCCAATGACACGGCGCCAATCACGAACTCGGTCCCCCCCCCCCCAACTCTCCATCCCGTCTCGGGTCATCAGGCGGGAGATGCCACCCCACGGCTTCGGCAGACTTTTGGTCATACTCGGCCTTTTCAACTCCAAGCATGTGCGGGACGGACGCTGACTTTTGCCCGTGGTGGTGGACTGGAACGGGGCCAACCAAGCGAGCTGCATTCTTTTTCCAGCTCAGGCTCCCTCTCTCCGTCGATGGGGTTCATCTCCATAAAACCTTCCACAAGTCTGGCTCAAGCTGTCGTGCCAATTTCAGCATCTCAGAACGCTCAGCAGTGGACTCGGTTGTCGATTAGCGGGTACCACTGCTACCCGTCTCGGGTGCCTCATCGCACGACAGCATCCCGTCAGCGGCTCTCTGCATCAGCTTGGGAAACTGCAGACATTTGACAGCTCGCACCGTACTGCCAGCCGACCAATGCCGACGTCGACCGAACTTGTCTCTGGCTCTTGGTTCCTCGCTCCTGGTTCCTGAACCAGACCCCGAACCGACCATCGGGAAACGATGTGTCGTAGCATCCGTCACACAAGCGAGCGAAGCGAAGCGCAATGAGATATCCGAGTAAGACTCGTCTATTCGACGAATCGTCTCGAGGATTTCCGGTGCCTGACTGGGATGGCTCCTGCTTCCGAAAGGGGTCCGGCCGATGAACGAAGCTTCGAGTCTTCACCCTTCGAGATGGCAAGTAGCGCCGCACCAAAGAGGGAGATACCTCGTTGCGGCGGGGCCAAGCTCCAAAGGACTCAGTCACGCAGGCAGGAGAATCCCAGCTTCTACGGGGCCAAGAGGTGGCCGTCCGCGACGTTCCCGCCCGCGAAAAACCACACGTGAGAGCTCTTTGCTGTTTCAAGACGATGCCAGCAGGCAACCCCCTGTTTGTGACAGCTCAGGTACAGCTCCAATGCTTCCAACATGCTTCAAGAATATGCGCGCTCCATTTTATTTATTTTTGCCTAATTTCGTCGTGGATTACTGCCTTCAAAAATGGTGCCAATATACATGGCCGGAGCTACGAAGAGTAATAAAAGGAAAAGGATATCTTGGTTATACAAATGCCCCGGCACTCCCCGCCACCGGCTCCTGAATGCTGCTCGCACGCAGTGGAGTTTCCAAACAAACGATTCGACTGATATCATGGCGCGCTCTCTCTCTCTCTCTGTCTCTCGCGTCCCCCTTCTCGGCTCCGCAACCCGCGCCTGCGCCTGCGCTGGTATCCTTCCCCGTTCTTCGGTTCTTCGATTCGAACAAACCCAGGCCGAAAGTCGTCATCCGCACCCCTTTTTATGCTTCTAGTTCGTTCCTGTCCGTCCATGGTCGTCATGGCCACCAGTTCATCGTCTTGTAGCTCTCAATCACCTCCTCGACTAATTCCTTGGTCAATTTGGGCTTTTCGTACTGGAAGCCGACAACCTGTTCTAAGCGGTTACCGTCCATGCTCAGATCCGTATCCTTCAACAGCTCCTTCTCCATGAAGGGCGTAAGAGGCCCCGGTCGCGCAATGCCCGCCTTCTCGAGCAGTTCGGCCCAGGGTCCCATGAGCTCGTCGTTGACGTCGTCGACGACGCTGTCCATGTTTAGGCGCGCAAACGTGCTGATGAGTTGTCCCTGGAATCCCGTTTCGATCTTGAAGATGTCGCCAATAATCTCGGACATGGTGCCTTGTGTGGTGATGCCCTTGTCGACAACGTTGAAGGTGGGCACCTTGCCCATGGTCTTGACATCCCACTTGTCTTTGCCTTTGCTGTACCACGCCGTGATATCCCAAAGTGCTCGTACGGCATCTGTAATGTGTACCGTGTTCTGTCGGAGGCCCTTGTCCCACAGCCACTTCATTTCGCTCTCCAGGTATTGGTAGACACGGGCCATGCAAAGTGCCGTTGCGACCCATTGCGACGCGTACGGGCCGTAGACGTGTGCCAAACGCACAATGATGAGATTCAGTCTAGAGAAGCAGTGTCGTTGAGTCAGTTTGGAACGATACACGACGGTGCGCCCCGTAGGATAGAGAGAGCTCTGTGAACGCTGGGTAGCGACGCCTTGGATACGTACCCCTCAATTTTTGCCAACTCCTCCTCGGCTTGCAGCTTGTAGACGGCAATCTTGCTCCAAGGCTTCAGCTTGTCGCCCTCTTTGCTCGGGGATGAGTCTGACTTGTAGACCATGCCGGTGCTGAGCTCGATGAAGGCCTTGACCTTGCGCTTGGCGGCCTCCTTACCAACGGCAAGCGACAGGCCGAGGGAGCGCAACTTGTAAACCTCATCCTCTTGCGAATACCTCGTTTCGCCGCCGCAATTGAAGACGTAGTCCCACTGTTTGCCGTCGGCGCGGTCGAATATCTTTGCTAGGGCTTCTGCAAGAGGGCAAAGAAAAGGCAAGAAACGTTAGCCAAGGACGACAGGACAGTTGGTTGTTTGTCTGGGAATTGGGTCGGTTGGCAGCTTTGGAGACCCCAAAGACAGAGGGGGAGAGGGGATGGGCCTCAGAGAGGAGGAAGAAGAGCCAAGGACAAGCAAGTGGTGATAGGTGGTGAATGGGAAAGGAATAGGAATAGGAATAGGAATTGGAATAGGAATAGGAATAGGGGAAAGCAGGTCATGTCGTCGTTCAGGTCGGGCGACTTACGGTCTCTGCTTGCATCGGCCTGCATGAATTTGCTGCCGGCGCAGGCGTCCTGGAATTCGGGAGCAAGCCATGCGAGTTGGGGCAAGGCCTTGTCGACAACGCGGACCTCTGATGCGAGGTCATTGTCGTGGATGTAGCGGGCCAGGAAGCGACCGATGTAGCCCAGCCCCCCGATGATCAGGACTGAGGGTTTCTCGGCCATGGTGAAGGGAAGGGGGAGGGGGGATTCGGTGGCAGAGGCGGTCGTCGAGTGGTTGTGCGTTTGTGTGCGGTGTTGTGTCGTCGGAAAGAAAAGGATATTATGAGCAGCGCAGGTTGACAAGTTTGGGGGCAGAGGGGTTCGAGGTCGTGGTTGTTGTGGTGGTGGTGCACTGGGCGCTCAGCGGCAAGGCGGGAGGAAAGGTACCTCTGACGGGCAAGGACGACAAGGACAGCGAGGGTAACGGACGGCGGGGTTGACGTCTGGTGTCCAGGTTCCCGTCGAGTTAGGGGTGATTTGCCCTGGCCCCCTGGGACTGAGAGTTGCAGCACCGGGATTGCGCGAGTTTAGTGTAAACCACGGTGCAGCGGGATGGATGCGGGCGAAGCTCGGCAGGGGGGGTCGAGGGGGGCGACGGTCCAACCGGTACAGTTGGTGGGAAGAACTTGGGAAGGGGACCGAACGAAGACGGCAGACGGAAGGCCTTGATTAGGTA